CCACAAATCTCCAGGAATTCCCCAACCCAAAGCTGGCAACCCTAAATTTCAGTCATCAGCCGGAAAGAGAGTCTTTCTTTGTTCACACCAGGATCCCTTCAGCACAAGGGTGATCTTGCCCCGCCTGATTCAGGTGGGCAGCCGTGTTGGGTCTGAAGCAAAAGAACAAAGCTTGAGTCCAGTCAGACGTCTTGAAGACCAACGAAGTTTAATTCTGGGTATTCGCTTTCGTGTGCAGGCACACTTTGTGCACATGAAAGCTAATCCCCAGAATTAAACTTCGTTGGCCTTCAAGGTGCCACTGACTAGACGCAGATTTTGTTCTCTTGTCCTGATTGTACACCAGGAGTTCCGCTGGTAATGAAACAAGACTCTTAGGTTGCACTCAGTTCCCTTCCCCATTCGGAATCTGATACTTGATGGTTTGGTTACAGATGCAGTGAAAGATCTGCGATTTTTGGCCGTGGGAACGAACGTGGCACATTTGCAATTACCAGTGAGAGATCTTAACAAACAAACAATCTGCCTTATGCAAAGTGAGGTCCTCGGTCCATCTAGCTCAATTTTGTTTCCGTTGACTAGCGGTATCTCTCCAGGGTCTCGGGCAGAGAAAGGTCTTTCTTTCCCAACACCTGACAGCCTTTTAGCAGGAGATCCCAGGAACTGAACTTGGGATGTTACGGAGACTAATGCAGGCACGTCCTCTATGGCCCTTCCGTACCAAGCATCACTTCCAGGTTGGGGGGGGCAGGGCAGAATTCCCCCATCCTCTGCCCACTGTCAGGCCTTCCCTTCCCTTCCAGCCCCCACGTGCCTCCCACCTCTGAAGTTGGGGGCACCAGGAGCAGGGCTGAAGAAGCAGAGCTTAACTGGCAAGATGGACAGTATTCTTGGGAAGCCATTTAATTCCACTTCCTGCTCTCCAGTTTGATTCTCTTTGGCCTGTGGCATCTCAGGTTTTTTAAAGTGAATTCTTGCTACAAATTTTCATTTTGGAAAAAAATCCATCCCCACTCACAGGTTTTCTCCTGTTTGCATTATGCACTCAATTCCCTTCCCACCCGTAATCTTGGAGTAGAAGGGCCAGGTACGACTCACCCCAGTACACAAATGTGTTGTCAACGGGCAGGCTGAGAAAGAGGGATGGTTGGTTGCCCCTCCATTCAAATTGCTGTTGGGGTACAAATTGCAAACACAACTGGCAAATGTTCAAGAGAGCGGTTGCTTTTTTCTCCCCCCATAAATGCAAAAAACGGATTGAAAATGCTCTGCGTATGCACCTTCCCTCAGGGCTTTCATCCACCATCTTTGGGCTAAAAAGAAATCAGTGCAGTAAACAAAATAAAAAAGAGGGTTTTTTTTAATTCTGGGAGGGGGGCAATGCTCCCTCTAAGCTGTGGAGTCTTGTGAGCCAAAATTCTGCTTTGTGAGTTACTGGCCTTAAAGTTGTGAGCGAGCGATTTGGCTACTGCATAATTTCATTTGCTCTGGAGCCGTCCTTCCTGAGCTATGACAAAAATATGCGAGCTAGCTCACACTAACTCAGCTTAGAGGGAACACTGGGGGGGGCCTGCCTGGCTTGTTTCTCCTTTCGAGGCTCACCCAGTTGGTCTGGGTGACTCAATGTTTGTTGAGTCTGCATTGCTAGGACTTTGGCCCGGTCGTCTTGCTCTTTCCATTCATCCAACACACCCCCATGCATCAGCTTCCAAATGAAGTGCTGCTTTTTGGTTGTCCCAATACAGCTGGCAAGAGAAAGCATGGGACTCTTCTCCCCAGCATGCCATTTGGCCCCCCTTCTGGACTCCCAAAGCCAACCGTGTCTGGGTTTGTTGGCATTTAGCCTTCTGCTGGCACCATCCTGCAGACGGGCGAAATTGATAACCGCCTGTACGTGGGCCTTCTCTCCTGTGGCCCGCACCTTAAGAAATGGCCTCCCTGAGGAGGTGAGGAAGTTTCTCCCCTCTCCTGGCCTTCTGCAAACTATGCAAAACAGAATTGTTCAAGAGGGCTTTCTGCACCGGTAAAGAGGACAGTAGAGTAATGGTCAGGAAGTCCCCCTGGTCAAGGGATAGGGACTGTGGCCTCGATGACTGCATTGCTGCCTGCCTCTGTAAGTCTGCTCCAGACTGGGTAGTGTCTACACCACTCAGTATATTATGTTCAAAGGCTCGTGCTTTCTTTCAGCTCTGTTTGAGACTACTGTTTTCAGTTTCTGTCATCCGAGCCTTCTTGTGGAGTTCATTGCGTGTCCCGTCCGGTTTACTGTACCTGATTTACACTCTCTGTAATCCACCTTGCGGTCTCAGTGAGAAAGGCGGACTATAAATAACCTAAGTAAACACGTAAGTTATCCAGTTCTCACAGGATACCCTGGGAATGAGATCCGGTCACAATCCAGCATGGGCCACTGCCATGAATGCCGCTGAACGTGAACGGCTCGATTCAAGAGCAGAAACACCTTTAGAGTATCAAAGTGGAGCTCCTCCCCTGGAACTCTTGTTGGTCTCTAAGGTGCTCCTGGACTCCAGTCTATGGCTGTTCTACTGCAGAACAGCACAATTGCCCTCTGAAACTATTTACGTGAAGGTGCCAAAGCAGAGCACACATTCTATGGTACCAGATTTCCCACGGGCCCTGCAACAATGACCCAGGGGCATACGCTACCCAAGGAATGCAACCAATTCCGCAAACGTGTGTTGACAGCCAGCCACCATGCAAAATGGCACTGCTGCCCAGATGCAGAACTATGCAAAGTGTTGATCATTCTGGGTTCTGAGCAAATTGTCGAGGCGATCCGATGGGGAGGGGCCATGGCTCAGCGGCCGAGCATCTGCTTGGAATGCAGAAGGTCTCAGGTTCAATCCCCGGCATCTCCAGTTAAAAGGACAAGCTAGCCACAGCCCCCCAGTCGGAGGGGACAAGGCGGACCCTGACGGACCGAGGGTCTGGTTCAGTAGAAGGCAGCTTCATGTGTCCAAATGAGGTGTTGCATTTGAAACAAAAGGAGCATTACAAAAGAGGGATGCTCGAATATCGAGTGTGGTTTTTGTGCACAAAAAATTGCAGTCACTTTCTGGAGATGGAGAGCATTGGTTTGTGAGGCAGAGACATGAGGGAGCAATAGGCAGGGATTTTAAGCAAGCTGAGGAAGGTCGGCTGAGCAACGACAGTGGCAAGGCAGCCATAGAGGGTCTTTGGGGATGAGGGGAAGAAGAGATTGGATTTATACCCCACCCTTCACTCAGAGTCTCAGGGCGGCTTACAAACTTCTTTCCCTTTCCCCTCCCCTCCCCACAACAGACACCCTGTGAGGTAGGTGGGGCTGAGAGAGCTCTGACAGAACTATGGCTTGCCCAAGGTCATCCAGCAGCTGCAAGTGGAGGAGTGGGGAATCAAACCCGGTTCTCCCAGATTAGAGTCCACGCACCAAACCACTACACCAAACTGGAAAACAGAGCATAAAAGCCAAATGGGTGGGAAGAGCTGAACTGGGTTCAGATTTACCCACTGACCTGTGATGGCAAGCCTCTTGCATTAATTTGCTCATGGACTGGGGCGCAAGGGTATTGGGCACACCCCTCCCCAATTTTCTGGGTGCAGATTTAAGATTTTTTTTGGCTCAGGATCTCAGCCTCAAGACATGCATTTCAGAAGCCATGTGTCCAGCTGGCTGGACTTCAATTCCTGTTTGGTTGCCACCCTTCTCTAGTCCCTAACCCTGAGAACAGAGTTCTGTCTAATCCATGCTTTAGACTATTATTGTTTTATGCTGAATTCTACTACGTGCATAACAATTATTGAGTCATCATTTATGGCAAAAAAGTGGGATAAAGATGTTGCCGTAAATAAATATATTGTGCAAAAATCAGCAAATGTCACATACTATATGCTGTACTTTTACCGATAACTGGCAATAACACATTGTTTCCCATGTGTGGTCTGCACATGTGTGTGCATGGGGTGTGTGTGTGTGATTTAGCCTAAAACCCTCTAAAATCTTACCCAGCTCCTCTTCTAAGATTTTGGCAGGATTGCCCCCATAAAGGTAAAGGTAAAGGTTCCCTTGCTCGAAAGCCAGTCGAATCCAACTCTAGGGTTGCGGTGCTCATCTCCGTTTCAAAGCCGAAGAGCCAGCGCTGTCCGAAGACTTTTCCATGGTCATGTGGCCGGCATGACTAAACGCCAAGGCGCACGGAACTCTGTTACCTTCCCACCGAAGTGGTACCTATTTATCTACTTGCAATTTCTTGCTTTCGAACTGCTAGGTTGGCAGGAGCTGGAACTAGAGACGGGAGCTCACTCCGTCATGCGGCAACTCAGGTCTCAAACTGCTGAACTACCGACCTTCCACAGCCTGCAGTTCTGCGTCTTAACCACTTGAGCTACCGCAGCTCCAATTGCCCCCATACTTCCAGACATTTTTCATAATCACAACGAGCTAGAAACTTACTTTTTTAAAAACAAGAGATGCTCAAGAACCCGAAGGTGACCTTTGAGGATATCTTTGCGTCCATGAGGACAAGACAGGTATGTACCTTTTATTCATGAGAAAGGACATTAAGATCCTCAAGAAGCTCAGTTCTGCACCAAAAGAAGAAGTGAGCAGTGACTCACGAAAGCTCCTACTTGGCCACAAATTGTGTTAGTCTTCAAGGTGCCACTGGACTCTTGCTCTTTTCTCCTGCTATAGACTGACTAACACAGCCACCCATCTGGATCTATCTGAAGAAGTGAGCCGAGACTCACGAAAGCTCCTTCCCTGCCACAAACTGTGTTAGTCTTGAAGGTGCTCCTGGACTCTTGCTCTTTTCTACTGCTACAGACAGAATAACATGGCTGCCCATCTCGATCTATCTGCACCAAAACATCACATTTAGTTCTGTGTCATTGCTTTCTAGAGTATCAAAACATACACACATACATAAACACATACCACCCAAAGACCTGCAGTTGTCAGATAGAGGATGCTCCAAGGAACAGGCAAGCAAGATCCTCACCTGCAAAAGCCCGAGAAATGTGGTTCTTCTTCCACTCCCACGGCTGGTCGTACTCATCCGCTGGCCGCTCATCGTCCTGGGGCAGACGGCTCTCACGGGGTTTATCAGCAGAGGAGCCCTCCAGGTTGGCCTCTGGTTCCTTCTCCTCATAGGGAGTGTCGTACAGCTGTAGACCCTTCCGGGATTTCTTCACCTTTCTCTCCTCCCTGTCGTTTTTGCGCTGGAGATCTAAAGAGCCCAGGTGGAAAAGTTTAGGTGCCGGGAAAGAGATGTCATGTTAGCAGCGGGGGACGGGGGAGCGACACACACAAATTGAACCCACAAACTAGAGACCCACAAATTGGAGTCAGGTGGGCAGCCATCTTGGTCTGAAGCAACAGAACAAAGTTTGAGTCCAGTGGCACCTTTAAGACCAAAAATGTTTAATTCTGAGTATAAACTTTCATGTGCATGCACCCATCTTAAAGGTGCCACTAGTGGATTATTGACTCGGGAAATGATCATGAATTGGGAAGCGGGTTGGGTTAGATGGCCTCTATGGACCCTTCCAACTCTATGAAACCCAGGTTCAAATCTCCACTCTGCCATGGAAACTTACTGGGTGCTCTTAAACAAGTCAATCACCCTTAGCTTATCCTACCTCACAGGGCTGTTGTGAGGGTGAAATGAGAGGAGGACAACAATGTAATCCGCTTTTAGTGCCCACTGCGTACAAAGGCAGGGTATAAATGAAGTAAAGATGTAAACAAAGAAATAAAGTCCACAAAGCACGCAGAAGCGTTCCCCGAGCAACTGATAACACAAAAGGATTGGCTTTGAAGGCGGAGGTCATGTTCAGCTGTCATGGCTGTTAATCAACCTAAGATACGGTCAGGGCCAAACGAGATAAGATCATTTTTAAGAGGCAGGTCAGGACATTGGTGGTCATTAAATAGAAAGACTTGAGGCAGCCAAATATTATTTTGTTCTTAGGGTATTTGTGGGGACCCCCCCCCCCGGGCTGCTCCTCCCCCTACTCCAGGCAAGAAACGATTTTGAACACTTTTCCTTTTACGGATCCCTTAATTCCTCTAGTTTTGGAGATCATCAGGCATTGCCAGGGTGCTTTGGAGAACCACGGCACATCCATAAGGACTAGAAACTCAAGTGGCCTTTGTTGGCTGTCAGTGAAAGCAGAGACTCTCTGAATGCTGGATTCTCTCGCAGAGCAGTGGCCCACACGAAAACCCAGCTACACTGCAAGCTGTTCCCCTTGTGTTCCCAAAATCTGGCTCCATTATCGGCATCATCCACCCCTTGCCTTCAAAGTGTCCCCCCCCCACCCCCCAAATACTCCCTTCTTTTTTGTAAGACACTCACTCACCAGCCACCACCTTTTGGGCATCATAAGGTTCCATGTAGCCATTGTTTTCCAGCTCCACATCCTCCTCCCCGTCTTCTTTCGGCTCTGGGTGAGCATCAAAGGGGTCCGAATACTCACTCTCACCAAGGGGCTATAGGCAAGCAAAGGGCAAAGGTTAACACAGCAATCTGGTTTCATGTTCTTTTGGCTCAGCATAGCTGGGGTTCCTGTGCCCCACAGAAATTGCAAAGTGGGCAACAAACGGGGGATGGGCAATGGGGTACATGAAACACATCCCCTTCTCCACATTCCAGCCATTTTTCACCTCCCTCCCACATAGGTGCTGCAAAATAGGGAAAAAAATGTTCACACCTAGCAGCAATGGTTGGTCTCACTCTGACTTAGCTTTGTCACATCACTTGCATCCAAGCCCTGATTGGCTATCAAGCAGCTTCAGAAAGCCTATTCAGACCAAGGGCTACATTCCCTGCCTTTATGATGTTGCCCATGCAACATCACTACATCAACAAGTCTGACTGGCCAGCTGATAAAGGGAAGGCCAGAGCATAAGAGCAGCTACACAGGATCAGGCCAAGGGTTCATCTGCTCCAGCATCCTGTTTCACACAGTGGCCAACCCCATGCACAGGAAGGCCTCCAAGCAGATCAAAGCCTCCCCCTATTGCTGCAAATGACCTTTACAGATACACTACCTCTGAACATGGAGGTTCCTTTGTCATCATAGCTAATACACACTGATGGACCTATCCCTCTCAGTTCAGGTGCTGAATCCCACTTTAAAGCTAACTAAACTAGTGGCCATCAGCACATCCTAAGGCAGCATATTCTACAAGCCAATTGCGTGTACAAGGACTTCCTTTTTATTGATTTATTTAAAACATTAGCTGCTGTTCTCCCTTGCAGAACTCAAGGCAGTTTACAATATAAATCTCACATTATAAAAACACAATTATAAACAACAATTATAAAACATCATAATTGTGTCCAGAATTTATTACTCATTGTTGGGATGCCGTCACATTGCATGTCTGATCCCTGACTGGTTGGGAGCACCTCTTGGGATAGGGGAAAGTGCCCAGATTGCACCAGATGTGATCAGAGTCCAATTTCCATGCAGCAGTAGTCCTTGCCCCTGGAGGAGACTGGCTGTTGCTTCTCTGCATGATTCAGAACCTAACAAAGGTTAGTACAGGGCCAATATTAAAAACTAAATGTAGAAAATATATAGAAAAAGATACATGTATTTATTAATTGCAAATTTTAAAACATATATAAGGGCCCATTCACATTTTGCCATGTTATTTATATATTTGATGTGAATGGGCCCTTATATATGTTTTAAAATTTGCAATTAATAAATACATGTATCTTTTTCTATATATTTTCTACATTTAGTTTTTAATATTGGCCCGCTTTTTCACATTTTACTAACCTTTGTTAGGTTCTGAATTTTAGTGTTAAGGTTCATTTTTTTGCCCTTTCTGTCCCTGCTTCTCTGCATGAGCCATTCCTCTTGATTTGTAGCCTCAAAGTCATGAAGCATTCTCAGTAAACAGACTCTTGTGCCCAAAAAAGAGACACCAGTAAGGGACGGACTCCCAAGGGCAGGTGATTCTTACACATTCTGAACCTCATGCATGGAAAAGGTGACTACTGAAAGCTCTGGAATCCCTGCTGGGACCAAAGTTGTGAAGCAGGCATTTTGATTGGTGTTTGGGAAGGGTGGGGGAATAGCTGCCCACTCAGGCATTAAACCAAGGTCCACTCTGCTTAGCAGACAAGACAGGACAGCACCCCAGCGGGAGATGCCCTGGCTGCAGGTGGATTTCCAGAGGCAGGAGCCATTTCCCAGTCAGTTCCTCCCCCCAACTGTTTGTCCTCCAGCACAGCCAGCTGGCTATTCCGTAACACACACACACCCCAGTGTGCAGCTTTGGCTGGCAAGAAGAGGACATGCACAAGGTCAAGTGGGTTTCCCTCTCCCCTCTCCCTTCTCCAGGCTAGCTGTGCTTTCCAGAAGGGTTCCCTCCCCTTCCCCCATTTCTCCCCTAATTGCTGTTGCTCCCCACTTGCTACGCTGGTGCATTAGATGCGCTCAAACAGCCCGCAGAGAGGAAATGTTTTGAGAAGCTGCAGGAAAGCAAATGAGACAGGCGTATGGAAATAAGCTATCAGCCTCTCCTCAAAGCAATTACCCTGATCCTACCCTTTGGTGCGTACAAATTGAGTGCTTGGGGAAAAGGTACTCGATTGATGGAGGGTGGGGGGGAGTTTCTCCCCCCCCCTCACGGCAGTGCCTGATGCGGGATGTTTAGACTGCAAAATGACATCTAGTTGCACGATTTATCTCTCTTTATTCCCCTCCTCCCCAGCTCACCACTGAAGGATTATCCCCCTATTACCAGGCACATAGAGGTAGCATTCTCACAAAACGCAAATGCTCTCGCACAATCCTCCACCAAGACAGTAAAAGACTAAGGATGAGGCTAGCTAAAGAAAGCAGAGTGAAATGGGTTCGATCTGCAGCGCTTGTTCAGATGCAAAAAGCACCCTCTCTTGGTTTTCAGGGTATGCCATCAACGCATCTCAAAAAAGACAGTCTCCTTTAAGAAAGAGATTGGCGAGGGGGTTCCTCTGCCCTCCCCATGTTCCCCCCCCAGTCTCCAGGATTTTCCCAGCCTGCAGCCAGCCACCCTGGTCACAGTTCACAGTCCTGTCCTTGGCCCCAGCGAGGTTGTCATACCCCTGCCCCCCTCTGCAAAGTCGACCAGTGGGCTTCACGGCAGAGGGGGGATTTGAACCCAGGTCCCTAGTATGCCACTCTTAACCACAAGATCACACTGCTTCTCAGACAGCACATTAGTGGGACCATTTTTAAAACACCTGCTTCCTAGATCACTGGGGAGGGGCACCTTTTCAGTCCCCAGTGACCAAATCTGTATTGCCCGAAACTACAACAGAGGCATCACATTGAGTTTTGGACTGGAGGCAGAGGGTTGGAAAGAGCACAGGCTCCCTGTGCTGGGTACCATTACCCCACTTCTTCCACATAAATAGATTTTGCAGGCTCATGCCATGGTTCCCCACGAAAAGCCCACTCAACCTGTTTGAGCAGCAGAATAAAATTAAGATGTCTTAGGAAGCTTGGCCTACTCTCATAAAAACTGTGCCCCTACCACAGTTTCTCCTTCCTTATGGCTCTAGCTAGGATTGCCCTCCCTGGAGATTTGGGGGTGGAACCTGGAGAGGGAGGAGTATGGGGAGCAGAGGGACCTCAGTGGATATATAAGGCCATAGAATCCCCCCTCCAAAGCAGCCCTTTTCTCCAGGGGAACAGATCTCTGTACTCTGCAGACCAATTGTAATTCCAGGCGATCTCCAGGCCCCACCTGGAGGGTGGCAACCCTAGCTGCAGCCAATAATTCCTTGAAGAAGCATCCTTGGGCGCTTGAACAGAAACAGCCTTCAACCTTTCTCTGCCTGATCCCCTTTCAGGTTTTCTTTCCCCGCAGATAACCTCTCTCCCCTCTCCCACCCAAGGACACGCTTGCCTGCTCCAGCCACTGAGACAACATTCATCACAATTTATATTAGGTGTTGCTGATCTATTATCACCGATGAATTCACTGTCACAAGTGCAGGGCATGCATCCTCTGTCGACGTTTTAATTAAAACGAGAGGGTGATACAAGGAGACACCCTGGTTGCAACACGCTCTCCGCACATTACAAATCGGGCAAATTTGGGGATACAATTTGTTCGCAAGGGTCTTTTGCCATTTGTGCTCCGACACCACCACAACTATCTATCTGGGGGGGGGGGGTACATCGACTTCCTCCCACATCAGGTAGTGCTGGAATGAATTCTCTGCCTTTTTCCTTTTCCCGCCTGGCGTACCCCCCCCTCACAATAAGTGCCTAGGTCAAAGACAAAAATCTGCAGAAATGAACTGATTTTTTTTTAAATGCGCACAAAAGTGCAACAAAACTTTAGAATCTGAATACAGTTTTTAAAACATATGGAATGTTAGAAATGGAACATGAATTGTTGCTTTAAAATTCAGCACAACGTTTTTTGAATGTGGAAGGTCTGAAATCTGAAGAGGAGCATGGATGGTCTTAATCCAAAAACTGGATGTCTGGAAACATTTTAAACACAGTATTTTATTTGGGGGGGAATTCGGAAGGCAATTTCTTAAAGACACAGATGCTGAGAATTCCCATGAGGCTGTGCAATAAATGTACCTGTGCAAACTCACTGCAGAGCCCGCCAGACCAGCATCCCTGACCATTGGCCAGACAACAAGTCAGACAGGTAAACAAAATAAATCAATACAATGACGCACTGTGTAAATACAGATTTTGTTCTTCCTTCGGCCATGGCAGAGTTCACTGAGGAGGAGAGGTCAATGGGCACATGCAGGGCTCTTTTTGTAGAAAAAGCCCAGCAGGAACTCATTAGCATAATAGGCCACACCCAAGAGCAGGAACTCATTAGCATATTGGGCCACACCCCCGACAGCACAGCTCATTAGCACATTAGGCTGCACCCACATGTTACCAGAAGTGTGGTCATCCAGCCACACCCACCTTTTGCTTGTTATTCTGTTTACCTTGTCTGTTGTCAAAACCCAGGGCCTTTTTTTGTAGCAGGAACTCCTTTGCATGTTAGGCCACACACCCCCAATGTAGCCAATCCTAATGAGTTTCTGCTGTTGGGGTTGGCCTATTATGCTAATGAGTTTCTGCTGGGCGTGGCCAACTTGGGAGCCAGCCGGAACTCCGTTCCTGTGTGTTCCTGCCCAAAAATAGCCCTGGGCACATGTGGAAAGTGCCCGGGGAACTTGGGCTGCCAGCTCTGCGTTGGCAAGTCCCTGGAGACAGAGCTTGAGGAGGGTGGGGTTTGGGGAAGGGAGGGTCCTCAGCAAGGTATATGCCATACAGTTCTCTCTTCAGAGCAGATATTTCTGCCACGGAGAGTCATTAAAATGTGGAATTCGCTGCCAGAGGATGCAGTGACGGCCACAGGAGTAAACAGCATTAAAAGAGGATTAGATACGATTCATGGAGGGTAAGCTACTAGCCATGGTGGCTGAGGGGAGCCTCCACATTCAGAGGCACTAAGCCTCTGAA